AGCAAGCCACCATTTAGCAAGGAAAGGGGTTAAGAACGTAGATGGAAAGGAAAAGTTCTAGAATTTTCTTATCTGGTGGATTGGACATGTGTCTCAGAGCAAGCCCCTCTCCCCCCCCCCCAGCCCTCCCTCCCACACACACCCCATGGGCCTGTGGCTTCAGAGTCAGGTGGGAAAGTGCGAGGTGGGTGTTCTCCTAGTTGCCTAGCCCTAAGATCCGGCCACAGTCAAGAGTCAAGACGGAAGACAAGCTCCTTCGCCTGTTGACCCAGTTGGTTCACCGCATGAAGAAGAGGCGTTTGTTACCGAGGCGCGACGTTCCAGGCAGTTTTAGACACATTCCTTCTAAACTTAATCGAGAACGAATTTCAAAATTGAGGAGGCTTTCCCGAACAATTTTGATGAGAGAGAAAGAGAGAAAGAGAGAGAGAGAGAGAGAGAGAGAGAGAGAGAGAGAGAGAGATTGGACCAAATGCGACGGTCAAGGACAGGGAGAACCCGGGAGTGCAGAGACTGTAGAGTGCAGAGAGTGTACAGGACGCGCACAGGGGTGGGGAAGGGGGTCCAGCAGTCCCGTGCAAGGCTAAGAAAACCTTAGCGAGAATGGAGCTGGCTCCGGCGACTGCTCAAGGGAGGAGTTGCGGTCAGACCTGAGAACCGGGCCCCAGCTGGCGAAGTGGCGTGGCCGGAGCGCCAGGGATCCTGGGCACTGGCGAGCGCTCTTCTGGGAAGAGCACGCCGACGTCGGACTTACTGGAAACGCGCCGGATCAGGTTCCAGATCAATGAAATCTGGGTCCACACGTTTACGTTATTGTTGCCAGCATTAATGCTCTTTTAATCTTCTAAACATTATCAGCATCGATCTCCCTCCATATACACATTTGTTTGAGAAAGTGACATAACCACACGGTGGGAAACCTGGAATAAAAATAAGTGCGCGGCCCCTCTAATCCACCGCTCTCAGCGGCGTGGAATACTTCTCAAGCTCGGATTCACTTAGCTCCCTCGCGTCCCGCCTCCTCCGCAAGCTCCAGGCGACCTCAGTCTGCGTTAGGAAGGCATTCTTTGGGGACTAGGGACTTGAAGTACTGACACTGGTAGTGAGCTTTGCAGTTATTAATCCGATCAGCCAGCAGGCTAACAGATCAGTCTGTTCTGCACGGACACGTGTAGGATTTGGCCTCCCGGCTCGGGTCCCGGAACTAAGTCCTCGGGAGTGGCGGTCTGCCCCCGCCCCTCTCCCCGTTGGAGAAACAAGATGGTGGGGAAGGCTGAGTGGAGGACAGAAGGAACTCTAAGCCCTTCAATTCACCAAAAACCGCTTTCCCGCGTCAACTAAACACCCGCACCGCGCGGCTGGAGACGCGCAAGGTACGGTACGTGTGCCTGGGCAGGAGCAATCAACGCTGCTTCTATACCACTAAGGCGGGCGTCAAGTGTGTCCGAAGACGTCGGGCTGCTTAAGGGCCTTAGACCGCCTGAACTGAGTGGGCTCCATCCTTACTGTCTGGGGACTGTGTCTTGGAGAAGGCCGCACTGTCTTCCCGCAGTTGGCACTAGAATCGGACTCCGGGAGGGCCAACCTCGGAGGTCACCTCCCAGGAGGCAGAAACCTAAGTTATGAAAGTAATAGCAGCCATGCCGTTGTTTTCCTGCGTTGAAAGAAAACAACAAAAACCAAAAACCCCTCATTTTTAAAATCTCTGTTTTCCTCCACCTGGCGATGGACTCAGGGTCTTCCCTGAACCCTCGAGGTCCTTCTTAGCTTGCTTTTGTGCGCCGTGCTGAGGCCCTCGAGGATCAAAGCCCTAGGAAGTGTGCTCAAAACTGCGTGAGTTTGTCCTCAGGCCAGGACTTAATAAGAACCGCCCTGCGGGATCCCGTCTTGGGCCACTCCCAGCCTATTCGGCCAGTTGCAACCACTTGCTATTCTCACCACCCAGGGCGGCCACAGAGTTCCTTTCTCAGACTTCTAAGTTGGGACACTCCAAGCTTCCCCAGCATCCTCCCGCGTCCTCCCTAGAGCAACCTGGGCTTGGCTGTGCGGGTAGCAGAGAGACCGGGAGCGGGCATGGGCAGATTGGTGGAATACCCAATCTTCCGGGTGACTGGATACACTTGACCTAGAGTTTGAAGATGGTGGGCAAATCAAAAGTTTTTAACTCAGAGACCCTCAGACCCCTGTCCAAATGGGTCTCAAAATGAGAGAGAGAGAGAGAGAGAGAGAGAGAGAGAGAGAGAGAGAGAGAGAGAGAGAGA